CCCCAAAACCCCAAAACCCCAAAACCCCAAAACCCCAGAACTAAGAGCTGCGATTGATTTAAAAATAAACGATTATTTTGTCTATTAATGAAACTGTAGCTGGCATAGGAGGAAATATGAAGATGATCATATGTTCTATTGAGAGCAGCTTACAGCCATGAGGTTCATAATTAGAGAAAATCGCATTCATTTTCACAGATATCTCCAGGACGTCCACAGCAATGACAAACTCCTGCTGAGTGGCACAGACTAGGGTCTCCACCTCCTTGAACATACCCTCAGATAGCAAGCTGCTGACTCCCTCATTCAGGCTCACTAGAGTACATTGTCGCTTGCTCTTCTGCTAAACTCTTCTGTGTTCCACTATTTTCCTGCCCTATTGCCCCTGAAAGGAGCAATAGGGTGATGGCAATCAGTAAGTAAATTTTCATATTTATTTTTATTAATTAGTCTACACTTTTACGTATTTATAGTTTTATGAGATGAAGAATTTCTGAAATTTTCAGAAATTTTTAAGACAGTGAGTTTGAGTGAGAAGAAAAAGGGAAATTTAAGGTAAATGAAAGGATTTGGGTGGTGTTTTGGGGTTATTGGATTATTTTGAAAGTTCATCAAAATTGTATCGACTTTTTGAATTATTCAACGATTCGGACTACTGATTGGTGACTGATGGATTCTGTCAGATTTGGTAGCACCGAAGACCTCTGATTTTGTAGAATCTGAATTTGGTATATAGCTTCTCTCTACTATAGAGGATATTTATTGATTTTATACATACAGAGGATGGCTAGTGCAACTTTTTTGATCTGAAAGGCATATAACCTCATGAATTATTGATACATCACCGAAATTATCAATTTTCCGTTCTCCAATTTAAGCTCTTAGTTTTAGCTATATTTTGCACTATAATATCAGTTCCGAGCTTCTTCTTTCAATTTTTAGGCAAGTTTGGGACCAGAATTGTGCCCAGTACCGAAATTAGTGTTGGTATATGGTTATGATAGTACTAAGCTAAACCTTTGCTATAAGAGGAAAGCTTCAGCTGCGATCCTTCCAATCAGCCGATTAAATGTGGTCAGGTTTAGGCTTCTGGTACATTCAGAGATGTTTAGAGATACCACTATCTCTAGAAGCAGCGAGTTAGAAGTCAATTGTGGGCTCCATTACCCTATTTTTATTTTCTTATTCCAAATTCTTAACTTGAATGAAAATTTCAGAATATTTTCTGTACAACCGTCCAGACTGAAGTCTTAATAAACGTAGGAATTTTGTTGATGCAATTACTTAAAGCCAATTTTTAGATAAACGGAAGCCTTATTTGCGCTCCAAGATTTCGTTTCGACACACTAAACTCTCTACATGTTCGTCCATATAAGCTAATCTTAGCTCTATTCCAACATTTGAACTCTTTTTTGCCTTTAAAGTTAAGATTTTCTTTCTTAAAATTCACAAGAAGATTTCTCACTGTAAAAACAACCCCCAATCTGGCTATGAGCAGCTTACATAGAGCTTGGCCTCTTAAGGAATTTGAAGAACAGTGGTGATTCAAGGGAACTAGATCTTTTGGAGTCAATATTGAGAATTTTCTAAAAATTTACAAGCAAACTTTTTGTTTTTAATGAAGTTTTGGAGAAATGGAGCTGTAAAAGTGCTGATTTGGTGTAAGATTTTGCACTAAAAGAGCTGTTGCCGTGTTTATTTGTACTTAATCAACTAGAGAAGAGTTTGCTTAAGCTGTAGCCTTGAGTTTAAAGAGCCAGGCTTGAGCTTTAAATACTTTAGCATGGCCTTGGTAAATTTTTAGACATTACTCTCTTCAAACTTTAAGTGAAGTTATTCAGATAATAGTATACATTATATAGCTGATAAACTCACGGTTGGTCAACCTTTGAAAATATCTACTGCTGTTCATTACCCAAGGTTCTATAAGCTAGTAATTATCTTAACTTTTAGTCTGTTAAAGCAAGTTTTATTTCCTTAGGAGCTACTCTGAAGTTCTAGATTAGAGCTTGACTGGGAGCTTTTAAGCATCCTCAGTTTTTGAATTTAGACGCTGCTAATTTTTATTGATAGTCTGTTTTAAGAGGAACTTCAGAGGAGTGGAGTCTTATTTAGACAAAAGTATTAACTTGAGATACGATTAATAATTAGGATCTTTGTAATTTTTTGATATTGAAGAACAACTTTGAAATTTATGATAAATTAGAGAGATTAATAAGCATTAACTGGTGAACCAACATTGAGCTCAAATATTATCAATTAGCCTCTTCTAATTGGGGTTTTGGGGTTTTGGGGTTTTGGGGTTTTGGGG